TAGTGTGTTATAAAGGCAGAGCGGTGATTGAAGCTTTTCCCACACTCATGGCATGCATAGCGTGTCTCTTCCAAGCTGATTCTCTCATTTCCAATAAGGTCTGAGTGGCTACTGAAGTTTTCCTCTGGCCTGTGCTGACTCTCCCAGGCTTTTGCTTTTTCTGGGAGTTCACAACTCCTGGAAACATTCCCTTTGGATCTTCCTGATAACGTTCCATGTGGTTCTACTTGCTCAGCATCTTCTTGCTGGGGTTTCTCCTCCTCATTCTCACTCACCATCCCATCACCTGATGGGAGACAGAGAGAATCCAGACATAGGTCACTCCCTGCGCAAGAAAGAAAGGAAATCTCAGAGAGAGGAATGGAAAAAGGGATGAACAAATCAAAATATGTGTTGGAGAGATCAAACCTATCAGGAGCTGATTTTCCCCCAAACTCTTCCCCAGAGGAGAGAGGAAGGGATCAGTTTTGGTCCGCATCTCACCAGAACACTCAGGGGAAAGCAAGATCAGGGAGGGACCTGCTGCCAGTTGTCAGTCAGGATAGGTGGGAAGCCATGAGTGACATCTGCCATAATGATTTCACACCTGCTGCGAACAATCCTGAACTCGGAGAGCTCACAGGGTCTTTGTAGGGCATCCCTAATGTTTCCTGCATTCCCAAACAGTTTTTGACTTGGTTTAACCAATTCCTCACCTGTGCAGGCAGCTCTCGGGAGCACTTCTTTCTCAGAGCCCTGGATGTCTGGGACCCACGGCTCTTCCCCTCGTTCCATCTGGAATATCATATCAGGTTTGGAAACTGGAAACCCTGGTCAAGGCAAAGAAAACAAGGGAGGTCAATGGAATTTGTGGGATACTTGTCACAAAGAATATTCCATGGTTTTACCCCCAGCTCATTTTTAAGCAGTAACATACCAAGGCTAGCTTTCTTGGGTCAAAGTGGCAGGATAGTTATAATTATTATTAACCATGTTCATTACCTTTGTGACTAAGGGTCAACTGAGACTATGTCTACACTACAGAGTTAAGTTAACTTAAGTTATGTCAATGATCATAAACTGCCGTAATTACATTATTTGTGCATGTTCACGCAACACTCCCTTTGTCGGTGGAGTGCATCCAGAGTTGGTGCTTTAGCATCGAGAGAGCGAGCAGTGCACTGTGGGTAGCTATCCTACTGTGCAATTCACTACCTTCTGTGACTAGGAGTTCTGGGAATGGATTACAGTGCATCATGGGGGCAGGCTCATTCTCCCATAATGCAGTGTTCTCCATCCCACCATTCTGTGGGGTTCCAGTTAAGTACATTTTGCTCTATTTTAGAACAACCCATATAAACTGTGTGCCCCCCATATCTGCCTAAAAGCATGGATCCTGCACTGCTCTCTAGTCTTGTGATGAGCGTCATGAACACAACGCCGCTGATCCTGCAGTATTTCATGAGCTGTGAATCTGAAAGTGAATCCGTGGTGCCTGCCCTGCAGTGTGCCATGGAAAGAAACAATTCAAGATTGATTTTGGAGCAGCTGCACGTGGACCATTGCTTTTGGGCTCAGGAAACCAGCACTGACCAGTGGGATCACATCGTTATGCATGTATGGGATGACAAGCAGTGGCTGCAGAACTTTCTGATGCACAAAGCCACCTTCCTGGAAGTGTGTGCGGAGCTCGCCCCTGCCCTGTGGCGCAAGAACATCAGAATGAGAGCTGCCCTCAAGGTGGAAAAGTGAGTGGTGATCACTTTGTGGAAGCTGGCAATTCCAGACTGCTATCGGTCAGTTGCAAATCAGTTTAGAGTTAGGAAGTTCACTGTGGGGGTTGTGATGATGCAAGTGTGCAGAGCCATTAATTGCCTCCTTCTATGAAGGACTGTGACTCTGGGCAATGAGCAGGAAATAGTGGATGTCTTTTCAGCAACAGGATTCCCTAACTGTGATGCAGCAATATATGGCATGCATATCCCAATTTTGGCCCCAGACTATCTTGCAATGGAGTACATCAACAGAAAGGGCTCCTTCTCTATGGTATTGCAGGCACTGGTGGATCACCGGGGTTGTTTCACTGACATCAACGCGGGGTAACCAGGGAAAGTGCATGATGCACACATCTTCGGGAACACTGGCCTGTATAGAAAGCTTCAAGCAGGGACTTCCTTTCCAAACCAGAAGATTCCAATAGGCGATATTGAAATGCCCATAGTGGTCCTGGGAGACCCAGCCTATCCTTTACTCCCATGGCTCATGAAGCCGTACACCGGAAACCTTGACAGCAGCAAGGATAGCACTTCAACAACAGGCTCAGCAGGTGCAGAATGACCGTAGAATGTGCCTTTGGCAGATTAAAGAGTCGTTGGCGCTGCCTTTTTGGCAGGTTAGATGTCAATGAGGAAAATATTCCCATGGTCATAGCAGCCTGCTGTGCTCTGCATAACATTTGTAACGCTATGGGGGAAAGTTTCCTTAGAGGTGGATCATTGAGGTGAATTGTCTGGTGGCTGATTTTGAGCAGCCAGATACCAAGACTATTAGAAGGGCTCAACGGGGGAAGGGGGATGGGGCGCTACTTCAATCAGGGAGGCTTTGAAGCAGCATTTTGACAATGAGCCCTACTAATATGGCTTTCTGTCATGCATTCATCCAGGCATTATTTACTTGCCGCCTTAAATAACCCTTGTAATGATTGCTGCCTGAGTGTTAATTGTAGTCTGCAATTGTGTCAATTGCCAAATTGTATGAGTTTCAGCAGCAACCATCATGTGTAGGACACAAATAAAGATTCATTTTATTCCTAAGAATAACATTTTATTTAACAGTTCTACACAGATTTCCATTTCCTACAAGAGACATGACACTGAGGAGCACTCTCTCAAATGGGGGTCTCACAACTGAGTGTAAGACCAGCTGTCATTACGAAACATGTCCTCAGGGGTGGAGTGCAAGGGGTACTGCAACGGGCTGGGAACATGTGAGGAATGTGTGCGGGGAGTTTGGGAAGGGCATGGAACTCAGTTCTGTAGGAGGAGTCAAGGATGATGTGTTCTGACTGAAATGCAATCAGGGACTTCAACATCTCAGTTTGTTCCTCCATCAGCTTTATCATCTGCTCCTGCCCCTCTGTCATTCACTCCTGCCCGTCTTCTCTCCTAGCTATCCATTCTGAATTTTTCACTGATTGTCTCTCTCCACACTCTACTCTCGCTGTCTGCAGCATCAGATGATTGCAACACTTCACTAAACATGTCCTCATTACTCCTCCTGGTTTGCCTCATTATCTGATGGAGGTGCTCCACTGGTGTGTAGGAGGTGACCCTCAAGGGCACATTGGCATAAGAAAAAGAAACAATAAACAGAGGCAGTATTGTGAGTGCACTCACAGCATTGAATCATAACAGTCAAATACACCTCTTTCTCACTTTCACTTGACAAGCACACAGCACGGCATGAGCCCTAAAAGTGGTGAATTCGGGCCGGGGGACCAGGGGCAAGATGGGACAAAGGGTCTGGGTGGTTTCCGAAGTGCCTGGGGACACTATTCTGAACACTGGCACCTTGTTCCACAGGCAGGGGTAATCGAAGCTGATATCTCACTCCTGAGGGTCACCGAGGACGCAAGGGTGCCTCTCCTGCATGCATGCGGTTTCAGACTGGGTCCTCTTGCTGCTTGCTTGTATGGTGCTTTGGTTCCTGCAGAAGTAATTGCCAATTGGTGCAGCAAAATCTCCTACAGTGGGGGGGGGGAGGAGAGGGGGAAACAAAGCAGCTCTGCCAAGGAACCTTCGGCAGAGGATTGCGGAGTGCATCTAGGAAAGTATCCTAGAGATCTCTCTGGAGGATTCCCAGGAAATCCCGATGTGCAGTAACAAACTTTTCCATAGGGACCCCACTGTGTAGCTGCACAGGGGAATGAGAAGAGAATGCAAACAGTGCTAGTCTGGTTCATTTCTATCCCTTCTACCACTTCTACCATGTAACATCAGAAAGGAGAACTCAACCTCCTCTCACCGTGCAGTATCAATGCAAAATGAGTACTTACCGGAGCTCCCCTCTCCTGCATCAGGTGCACCTCAGTTGGAATGTGGGACTGGCTAGACCCCTCCAGAGTTAAAAAAGGGTCCTGGCTCACCACGCCACCGGATAACCCTGTCGCATATCTCACATCCTCCTCCAACTCCACTTCTTTGTCCACCACCTCATCCTTGGGGTTTCCTCCACTGGCCACTGCCTCCAGTCCCCCTGAAATATACATGGGCTCTTGGTGGAAGAGATGAGATTGCCACAGAGGATGGCGTGCAGCTCATTGTAGAAGCAGAAGGAGTGTGGAATTGCACCAAGCAACGATTTGCCTCCCTTGCTTCCAGTACGCCTGCTTCAGCTTCTTGATCTTAGCACGGCACCACTGCATGTTCCTTTCATGGCCTTTCTCCTCCATGCCACAAGCAATCTGTCCGTAGGTATCAAAGTACCTAGGGCTGGATCAGAGCTGCAACTGCACAGCCTCCTCTCCTCACAGACCCAACAATTCCAGTGTACTCCAGGCAGGAGCACATTTGCTGAGGAAAGCTGCCATGGTCAGTTGGGAAGTTGCAATGAGAACTCTCCATGCTGAACAAATAGGAAGAGTAATTTCAAAATTTCCTGGGGTTTTAAATGGGAGGGATGCATGCCTGTCTATCTGCAGGGCAGCAGAGTTCAAACTGCTGGCCAAAGAGGTCATGATGGGCATTGTGGGATACCTCCTGGGGGCTACTTAGGGTGGCATAAGAGAGCGCAGTGTCTACACTGACACTGCGCTGCTCTAACTTCATCTCAAAAAGTTCTATGCCTCTTGTCGAGGTGGCTTTATTATGTCGGCATAACAGGCAAGTTAAATCAGCAGGAGGAATACTGCAGAGTGTACAACTCCACTGTTTTGTCGATGAAGCTGACATTAGTCAACAAAACTGTGTTGTGTACACAAGGCCTAAGAATGGAACCAAAATCTAAACAGACAAGACAGACACAGAATGGTGGGAAAGGTAGAACACACCAGCAAAGTGAAAAATGTGATGGCAAGGTGACAGATGTGATGAACCAAAGGCCACATATGGATAGGAGCAGCTATTGACATGATTATAATCAGGGTAAAGGAGAAAATATCATATATATCTGTACTATTACATAAGGAAGGGCATAAAATACCTCACCCAGTTACCATTTTATCAGGTTTGTTGGGTCCCTGAGACAGTGTAAACTGAATCAGCACCTCCCTTCTCATGGGCTCACCTGTCCTTCGATCTTTGTTTCCAATGATGTCTGTAAGTTGTAAGTATGCACAATGCAAGATGGTAAGTATGAACAATGCAGGACTTTCTTCACTATACTTATCTTATTCTAATCATTATGTATATTGATCCTTGCTTATGATTTCAATTATAGCTGTCTGTATTAAATAAAGTTTCTGTGTGTGTTTCACCAAATTTCATCTTCACCATTAACTTTGAGTAGCCACCTACAAGGGAAAGTTGCACCCTGTAACAAGGGTGTGTGGCCTCTTTCAGAAAGTAACAGGGAAGGACCGCAACATGCCCCCTGGTGGGCTGAACCAGGAGAGCCACGTCTGCTGCGCCAGAAGCCAAAGGGAAGACAGGAAGCAGAAGTACAAAAGGCGGGTCCTGCACTTCAGTTGGGCTGGAGCCGCCAAGGGAGACAGATGCATCCCACTGCCTGCTGGAACCTGCAGAGGATCCCCACTGAGCTGAGGACTGGCCGATCTCCCCAGGCTGTTGGCCAACCGAGAGACCAAGGGGCTGCTTGGGCTGCCGCCTGGGGACTGGCCAGATCTCTCCGGGCTGCCGGCTGACAGAGACACCGAGGATCTGCTGGGGCTGCTGCCTGAGGACTTGCCAGAGCTGCCCCAGAAGACAGAGGACCCCCATGTTACAAAGGTACCAAACCCAGGGGATGTAGAAAGTAGCCTGGGGGAACTAGACAACCATCTGGTTATGTGCGGGCCTGATTCTAGGTGAGCGTGTTGCGGGGCAGATCCCCACAATGGATGATTATTCCACCACTGTTAGGGCCCTGGGCTGGGACGTGGTGGAATTGGGCGGGCCCATGTCCCCTTACCCCCTGCCACCCTACTCCTGGGGTGGCAGCCTCCCCATATTAGGCAAGGAGGCCTCTGTTAGTGCTCTCCCTTACCTGACCCCCTAGACTGTGCTGGTGCTCAACCTTACCTGGGCTCACAGAATGCTTAACCGCTCTGCCCTCATTGCAGGTCAGATTTTACTAATAGTTTGCTGCCCTGCCCGGAGCGAGGGCCTGGGGCTCATAGACTTCTGTATTGCTCTGCCTGGCTGGAGGGACGGGACACTAAGTGCAGCTAATTCCCTCCTTTTGAGCTCACCTTTACAGGTACGTGATAGTGAGGAGGCATGGTCTCCCTCAGAGCGTGATAGCGATGGTCACGCAGCCTACACACCCCAATACGTAACCTTATAGGTGTAATAATTGTACAGGCTACACTACCACCCCATGACATCATCAGCAAAGTGCCCATTGTGCCTGGCTAGTGGCCCTGCTATGGGCGGGAGGAATGCCGCAAGGACTCAGGATGGTTGGCCAGGGTCGCTGTGCCTAGAGATGGGGATGTTATATGTGAAGGGGGGTAATGAGTGGGAGAGGGAGGTCAAGAGTTAAAATAATAATATTTGCGGGGGGGGATGTATAATGAAGTGAAACTGAACAGAAATAAAACTGGAGCGTAGGCTCTAAAGCCACAAGGCTGGGTAGGGAATCAGGGTTAAAGGTCTGGGATCCCCCACAGCTCTAGATCCCTAAACCTCTCCTCCCTCCCACTGACCCACCCAGCCCACTTCCTGGGTGCCCTTCCTCCACACTCCCCTTTCCTTCTTCCCATTACTCTCAGCTGGCACCACCTCCCGGCACCTTGGGAACTTCTCGTGTTCCCTCCTCGTCTCTCACTACCTCATCCCTCCCTGCTCCTTCTTAGCTCTAACCCTGCACACACTCTCCCCATGTCCTGGCATCCCAGAATTATCTCTGCCCCCCTTCTCCTCCCCTCCCACGGCTCTGTTCTCCCTTCACCCGTGGGGTCCTGAATGGCAACATTATACGCTCTCCTATCAAAAGAGGAGCACATCTGACTGTCACACAAGCCATGCATGAGTCATACACCTATTTACTTAATTTAGAATTCTACAGGCAGCATATTTTCCTCTTAAAATGAGGAAAGGCATGAAAGCTATCGTTATCAATGTAGTTTTAATGCATTCAATAAGGATATATTAAATGAAATTTTAAAATGACTGACAGCACCAAAAAGGCACATGTCCAAAAATTATACTAATAGGTGGGAGATAAGGCAACAAAAGGGGGGAAAGGAAACCTGCAAAGCATACATGAGTAAAGGTATAAAGTTATTACCACTCAAGTTCTTCAGAGACCCCACAGCTTCTAGTAACCAAGAGGACATGACTCCTTACCCAGCAAGACCACCATCTCATAGTTCTCCTGCATGACGTCCCTGTAGAGGGCTCTCTGAGCAGGGTCCAGCAGAGCCCCCTCTTCCCTGGTGAAATACACAGCCACCTCCTCAAAAGTCACCAACCCCTGAAAGAGAAAGAGTCCAACACTCAGTACCTGCTGCCCCAGTCACAACCCCACTATTCACGGAACAGCAGGGCCATGTAAATTTAAGCTCCAAGAGGCACATGTTAACAGAGTCGCACCCCACCTTGCTTAGAGCAGCCAGGAGGCATCAGAGGGTAGAAAGAGAGAACCTTTGAGTCACCCAGCTGACAGACGGAGGCAGGGTCTTCACATTTATCACATACTTACTAGCCAGAGCTTGATAGAGGAGATGGGGCTGTCTCTGGACCCTGCTGGTGTCTCCCTGGTAGGAATCCCAACACTCTCCAAATAAAATATATGGAAGAAAGGGGAAGTCAATAGTAAAGAATATAAGTTAGAAGGTCAGAATTGTAGAAAATTGGTAAGGGAAGGGTAGTTGGGTGGCTGCCCCACTCCATGAGAAAAAGGGCTGGAACAGGCCAGAGAGGCTGCGCAGACCAGCAGCCAATCAGCAAAGGGCTGTGGAGAGCAAAGAAAGAGGCAGCCAATCAGGGCTGGGCTGGGCTCTATATAAAGGCTGCCTAGCAAAGGAGAGGGCAGTCTTTCCCTGACTAGCAAGGGAGGAGTGGCTCCTGAGGTAGGGAGGTAGCACCTTGGACAGAGCAGTGCGGGGCAGGCTTGGGGGAGCAGAGGAGAGCTCCAGCCCAGTTACCTGCCAGGCTGCGGCCCCTCATAAAAAGGGTGGAGAAGGTGCTCGAGGCCAAAGAGGAAGGGGCCCAGAGAAGATAGGCGGACAAGAGGGGAAAGAAGGAGGGCAGAGGGAGGCTGCCGCTAGAGGGTCCCTGGGTCAGGACCCACAGTAGCGCGTGGCCCTGAGTTCCCCCTCTTCCCCCCTTGCACTGCACCTGGCCACTGAGGAGTGTGGTTGAGAAAGACTGCAACTTACCCCTGAGGTGAGGGGCTAGACTTTGGGGTTGTGGTTGGCCACTGAGGCAGGTGCAAGCCGAAGGACTGCCGTTAACTCCCCCCGAAGGGGGTGAGAATGGAGTAGTGGGCTCTGGAGGGCAATGTCCTGAAGAGGACACCACAAAGCAGGGAGCAAGGTGGTTCCCAAATCAGCAGAGCAGACAACGGGCGAGACACCACGGACAGACAAGAGCTAATTCCCGGAGCAACTAGCAGGAGATGCCAGCGGTGCTGAGTCTAGACCCCGTTACAGAAGCTATCAGAAATCAATGACCAAACAATGAAAATGAGAAGGAAGTTATTAAAAGTATATTAAGTACAAAATGAATCCTAACAATGGTAGTAGTAAATTACTAGATGGAAATGGCAGAATTATCAAAAATAATACAAAAGAGATAAAAGTGTTCAATAAATATTTCTCTCCTGGATTTGGGGGGAAAACAGATGATGTAGTCATATCATAAGATGTTGATGACGACACTCTTTCCATTCCAGTAATAACTCACGAGGATGTTAAACAGCACCTATTAAACTTGGACATGTTTAAATCAGCAGGTCCAGATAACTTGTATCGAAGAGTTTTAAAAGACCTGTCAGAGGAGCGTGTTGGACTGTTAATGTTGATTTTCATTAGGGCTTGGAACACTGGGGAAATTCCAGGAGACTGGAATAAAGCTAATGCTGTGCCAGTATTTAAAAAGTATAAAAGAGATGACCCAGCTAATTAGAAGAGTGTCAATCTGACATCAATACTGGGCAAGAGAATGGAGCAGCCAATTCTGGATTTCATTAATAAAGACTTAAAGGAGGGTAATATAATTAGTATCCATCAACAAAGGTTTAGATAAAATAGATCCTATCAAACTAACTGTATATCTTTATTGGATGAAGTCAAAAGTTTGGTTGCAGCAAATAGTATTGATGTAATATACCTAGACTTCTGTAAGGCTAATGACTTGGTTCACCACAATATTTTGACTAAAAAACTAGAATGATTCAAAATAAACATGGCATACATAAAATATGTGATTGTAAATGCGGAAGCGTAGTTGAGTGGATTGATTTCTAGCAGGTTCCCGCAAGGATTGGTTCTTGGCCCTGTGATATTTCACATTCTTATCAATGACCTGGAAGAGAATATAAAATCATCACTGATAAATTTTGCAGTTGCCACAAAGATTGGGGGTGGTGGTAACTAATAAAGTGTCAGTAGATTCAGGCTCCAGCACTGGGAGTCTGGGAAGTTTTCCCAGCCCTGGCTGGGGGGTTATTTCCTGTTCCACAAAGAGGGGAAGTTCCATTCCCAACTCCTGTGCCTTGAAACTAGGCCCTATCTGACACTACACCCCATAGTGGTGTGATTATAATATGATTATGACATAATTATGATGCATTTTGTACAAGGTGTGTCATGTGCGGTGTCAAAAGTTATGATTTGCTAAATATAATTGTGATGTTGTGCAGTCTATATGGTTTTATAAAAACATAATAAGTGAATATAATGTAACTGGAATAGTTTTATAAAAATATGATAAGTGAATATAATGTAACTGGAATATGCTTCATGCAAAAGGTCTCTTGTAAGGTATCATTACAAAGCTTATAATCTACTGAGTGTGATCATCCTATATGTATAAATGTACCACTCTTGTATCTAAAACTAGAAATATGAAATATAACTCTGAGGGCCTATTGTAATTATGAAAAGTGTGGGCCATTAATAGTGGTTTGGAATCTTGATGACTCCCATTAACCAGGACCATTGTCTGCAGATGGCTGTGTTTACTTGTTAAGTCTTCCTGTATATGTGTGTGCTGGCAAGTGGGTAATGAAGTCTTGCAGTGACATGTGATCATGTCACCTGAACTGGAATCCATCTTTAACCTGGTGCTTTTCCAGTGTGTGTGGGGGGGGGGAACCCAGAAGGACAAAGGGTTCCCGCCTTATGCAAAAGATATATAAAGGGGTGGAAGAGAACAAAGTGAGGAGAGGAGCCATCATGAAGAATCCCCTAGCTACCACCTGAGCTGCAACAAGAGCTGTACCAGGGGAAAGAATTGTGCCCAGGCCTGGAAGGTGTCCAGTCTGAGAAAAAGCTTACTGAAGCATCTCTGAGGGTGAGATTATCTGTATTCAGTTTGATTAGACATAGATTTGCGCATTTTATTTTATTTTCCTTGGTGACTTACTTTGTTCTGTCTGTTACTACTTCGAACCACTTAAATCCTACTTTCTGTATTTAATAAAATCATTTTTTACTTAGTAATTAACTCAGAGTATGTATTAAAACCTGGAGGAGCAAACAACTGTGCATATCTCTCTATCAGTGTTATAGAGGGTGAACAATTTATGAGTTTACCCTGTATAAGCTTTATACAGGGTAAAATGGATTTATTTGGGTTTAGGCCCCTTTGGGAGTTGGGCATCTGAGTGCTAAAGACAAGCAAACTTCTGTGAGCTGTTTTCAGGTAAACTTGCAGCTTTGGGGCAAGTAATTCAGACCCTGGGTCTGTGTTGGAGCAGACGGGAGTGTCTGGCTCAGCAAGACAGGGTGCTGAAGTCCTGAGCTGGCAGGGAAAACAGGAATAGAAGTAGTCTTGGTACATTAGGTGGCAGCTCCCAAGGGGGTTTCTGTGAACCAACCCGTCACAATAATTATCCTACCTGTGTGCATGGATCATGTTTGTATCTGAAGTTATGGATATTGACTATGTATCTGAATTTCAAATGTGTTACACCCACAACGAGCCTTTCAGGTACAACAATGAAGAAGCCAGACAGTGCTGATGGCTCATCAGCAAAGACAATGGAAGAGCTTAGCATTTCCATGAACCTTTCAGTGAACCTATGAGTAATGGCTGCTATTGTAACACCAATGGACCCCGGTCATCAATGGGTGGGATCGAACCTCAGGCCTCTCGAGTTTAGTGCACGAGCCTCTACTGCATGAGCTAAAAAGCCATGTAGCCCTTAACTAAGATGGTAGAGCAGACTCATTAATCTCTCTCTAAGTGGGACAGAACTCCACACCCAGGAGTGTGACATCATCTCTTGGCCTCATTCCCCACACAAGAGAACTCCTGGAAACACCTGAGGAATAAAGACTGAACTGGGGTAGTGCTGGTCCCAGGGTAATGGGATTTCTAGCCTGTGTATGGAAACTTGATGGACTGCTTCTATCGTCATTCAGGGTGAGAAATTGCTAATTCAAATTCTATCCACCTAGTACGGGGTAGGCAACCTATGGCACGTGTGCCAAAGGCGGCACGCGAGCTGATTTTCAGTGGCACTCACACTGTCCGAGTCCTGGCCACCGGTCCAGGGGGCTCTGCATTTTAATTTAATTTTAAATGAAGCTTCTTAAACATTTTAAAAACCTTATTTACTTTACATACAACAATAGTTTAGTTATATATTATAGTCTTAGAGAAAGACCTTCTAAAAATGTTAAAATGTATGACTGACACGCAAAACCTTAAATTAGAGTGAATAAATGAAGACTCGGCACACCACTTCTGAAAGGTTGCCGACCCCTGATCTAGTATGTTAGGCTTAGTTTGAGTTTTTGATTATTTGCTAAGTAATCTGCTTTGATCTGTTTGCTACCACTTATAATCACTTTAAATCTATCTTTCTGTAGTTAATAAACTTCTTTTATGCTGTATCTTAACCAGTGTATTTTGAGTGAAGTGTCTGGGGAAAATCTCAGCTTGGTTAGCACAAGCTTGTTGTGCATATCTTTCCCATATCGAGGGGAAGGCGACCTATATTAATGAGCTTACATTATACAGATCCCTATGCAGTATAAGATGGTATAATTCTGGATATATACTACAGCAGGTCTGCAAGGTTGGGGAGCTGGGAAATTGGCTGTTGTCTTCTATCTGTCTTTGAGTGGCTTAGGTAAAGCACTCAGGTAGCTTAGTTGGATGTGTGGTGCCACCTGCTGTTGTATAGGGTGATAACAGGGCTTGAGAGGCTGGCTGAATCTCCAGCAAAGCAGTGTGAGAAGGGCCAACACAGCTTCAGGGTTAGAGGGCACAGCGGTTCCCAGAAGCCCCCCACATTGCACCCCAGGGTGACAACCCATCACACCCTAGATTACACAAGTCTCAGCAGGTTTGTCACATCCTGTCCCCTCCCTTTCTCCAATCTAGAAATGTCCTGCCTCCCACCACCTCTAGCAGCTCCCACCCTCCTATGCATTTACTGCTCCTCTCCCTCCAAGCAGAACCCACCATCAGCTCCCTGATAATCCCTTACCTGAGCCAGCTCCACTACAGCCATTTCCTTCCCACTGGGAGGAGGGGACGATCTGGAGCAAAATGTGGACATTATTCTGTAGCCTGCCAGGGCGAGAAGGGCAATGTGAGAGCATTCAGATGGGGGTTTTGTCCATTCCACAAGCCGATTCCCCCCAGGATTTTTCCCTGCTAACGGACATTCTAGGTTCTGCCACATTGTGAAGCACAGAGTGACCTTATTCCAGACAGGCCTAGCCTCCTCCCACCAGGGTGTAACCCTCTGAGACATGGTGAAACCCTCCCAGTAACTGAGTCTCTGAATCAAAGTCCAGAGAAGAGCAGAATCCCAGGAGTGACTTTGGGGGATTCTCCCTGTCATTGTCCCCAAGGCAGCTGTCTCAGGTTTACTAAGTTGTTTGATGCTCCAGCCTTTATACAGTCTCTCCTGGGAGTGCCCCCTTTCATGGGCTGGGCCTAGTTTTAGCTTTTGACAAGTGTGACCCTGGGGGCTGAGAGACTGGGCCTCCTTGTCTCAGCACACCTTGTTTCTTTCTGTGGCTTCCCAGTGAGTCCAGATGAGTAGATACTCCTGATAGAAACTGTGAACATAAGAACAACCCACTGTGTCAGACCAATGGTCCATCTAGCTCAGTGGCCAATGCCAGGTGCTTCAGAGGGAATGAAGAGAACAGGGAATCATCATGTGATCCATCCCGTCACCCATTCCCAGCTTCTGGCAAACAGAGGTTAGAGACACCATCCCTGCCCATTCTGCCTGTGACACTGGCAGATGAGGAGTTAGCTCTTGCAAAAGCCCCCATGTCTCAATTGAACAGGGACAAACGCATAGCTGGAATCAGTCTTGCTCACATGTATTAGTATTGTTAAAACAGGTATTAGAATTATAAGAATGTGTTTAGTGTTTAGACTTTATTGAATGCTTTTGAGTTGCTGCCTGCGATAATATCTGAGTATCATAGGACGAGAAGGGACCTCGAGAGGTCATCTAGTCCAGTCCCCTGCACTCATGGCAGGACAAAGTTTTATCTAGACCATCCCTGACAGGTATTTTCTAACCTGCTCTTAAAAATCTCCAATGATGGAGTTTCAACAACCTCCCTAGGCAATTTATTCCAGTGCTTAGCCACCCTGACAGGAAGTTTTTCCTAATGTCCCACCTAAACCTCCTTTGCTGCAATTTAAGCACATTGCTTCTTGTCCTATCCTCAGCACCCCTGTGAATGCCACAAGCAATCTTGTGTCATAGCTACTACGTGTGGCGAGATCAATGTCACACTCCTCTTGCCTTTGCTGCTTTAAGGAATAACTCCACGGCCACTTGTGACATGTTAGTCCGAGTGAGCAGCATACTGGTCAACAATGCAGGATTCATTCCTGCAGACTGATGAGGCAGAGCGTGCAGTACACAAACCACTGAAAGATGGCGCCAAATGTGGAAGGTCCACCTAGCCCAGTATCCTGTCTTCTGACAGTGGCCAATGCCAGGTGCCCCAGAGGGAATGAACAGAACAGGTCATCATCAAGTGAACCATCCCCTGTCGCTCATTCCCAGCTTCTGGCAAACAGAGGCTAGGGACACCATTCCTGCCCAGCCTGGCTAATAGCCATTGATGGACCTATCCTCTATGCATTTATCTAGTTCTTTTTTGAACCCTGTTATGGTCTTGGCCTTCACAACATCCTCTGGCAAGGAGTTCCACAGGTTGACTGTGCATTGTGTGAAGAAATACTTCCTTTTATTTGTTTTAAACCTGCTGTCTATTAATTTCATTTGGTGAGCCCTAGTTCTTGTGTTATGAGAAGGAGTAAACAACACTTCCTCATCTACTTTCTCTACACCAGTCATGATTTTATAGACCTCAATCATATCTCTCCTTAGCCGTCTCTTTTCCAAGCTGAAAAGTCCCAGTCTTATTAATCACGCCTCATACAAAAGCCATTCCATACCCCTAATCATTTTGTTGCCCTTTTCTCAACCTTTTCCAATTCCAATATATCTTTTTTGAGATGAGGCGACCACATCTGCATGCAGTATTCAAGATGTGGGCATACCATGGATTTATATAGAGGCAACATATTTTCTATCCTATTTTCTATCCCTTTCTTAATGATTCCCAGCATTCTGTTTGCTTTTTTGACTGCCGCTGCACACTAAGTGGATGTTTTCAGAGAACTATCGACAATGACTCCAAGATCTCTTTCTTGAGTGGTAACAACTAACTTAGACCCCATCATTTTATATGTATAGTTGGGATTATGCTTTCCAATCTGCATTACTTTGCATTTATTAACATTAAATTTGATCTACCATTTTGTTGCCCAGTCACCCAGCTTTGAGAAATCCTTTTGTAGCTCTTCGCAGTTTGCCTGGGTCTTAACTATCTTTGGTATCTTTAGTAATTTTGTATCAGGACCCAGGATGCCCCATGATCCCTCCACCTTCCCACAACTCCTAGTGGCAGAAGAAGAAGAGATGTTCTGTGGGATAGCTGCCCAGAGTGCACCACTCTGAATATCACTGCAAGTGCTGCTAGTGTGAACACGCTATTGCGCAGGCAGCTGACAGTGTGAACACACAATAGCGGTTTCCCTTCAGCGCTCTCTGAGCGGCGCTGTAACTCTGCCAGTGTAGACATACCCTTACACTCTTCCCATTGGGGAATAGCTCAGGGCAACAATTTCCCACCGAAGCAAGGAGAAATCCTGCAGATAGAGTGGGTGGGGAAACCCGCCAAATCTGAGGTGTTTTTTAAAAAGCATTGGAGCTTTAGAGAGAAAAGGGGACAAAATCAGTGGAGGAGAATAGAGAAATTGTGAATAAATTGACACCACTGGGGAGCAGCAACTGCTCAGCCCAGCTCCTGGATCAGAAAGGAGACAGCAGCATCCTGTATTTTACCAAGCACTCACTACTCCTGCGCCAAACAATTAAAAATTCTACACCCAATATTTTAAAATTCTGCATATTTTATTTGTCAAAATAACAAAATATAAGCCTGCCATTTTCAATTGTTTTGGTCATTTATTTCAAAATACCTGTCACCAAGTATGTCTCTAACCATACAGACAACCCCCTGACCCAAAAAACAAACAAAAAAGCACCAACGATTCAGGTAATTTTTTTTACAAATAGATTCCTTACTAGGCATATTAATACAGAACTTTGAGTAATTACTTCAAAATACAATAGAGAACTGTATTTCCCACACTCCTCAGCAGCAGCGCAAAGGCTTGGAGGAGTCAGGGGCAACAGGGGAGCTGAGGGAGAGGGAAGGAGCCTGGGAGTGAACCTGGTGGGTTATTTGGTGTGGGTAGGAGACGTATGAAATAGATTTTTGGGGGGAGGGGGAGCGATTGTTAGGAGTTGGGGAGCCTCCCTCATGCAGACCCTGGCTGACCACAAGCCTCTCCCATTCAGTCAGGCACACCTGCCCCTGTCCCTGTGTGTCCCTGCAGCCCCCCATGTGTCCCTGAACCTCCATACCCCCTGTCACCATGTGGCCCTGCAGCCCCTCTCCCATTCAACCCCTGGCTCAATGCTGTCACCCCACTAGCTCCTAAGGCTATGCCCCAGTCTGTGTACCCTGCCTCACTAGGCATTCTGAACCCCGGTCTGTGACACACACACACGCCATCCCATGTGCCCCATTGTCTGTCCTAACCTGGCTCTGCAGGCAGAGTGCTGTGATGAACCCAGCTGGCTGCTGGCTGGTCTGGCTCCAGAGTGGCCTCTGGTGGGTGAAAGGTGTAAATGCAGTACTTCTCAGGCAGAATGTATTTTCTGCGGGGGGGAAAAAGAAATTATGCGCTGGACATGAATTCTGCATGTGAGGAATAACTCACACCCTGCACAAACATCACCTGCTCACTCCCATCTCTTCTCCCCAGGTGTCTCCAAGTCCCAGAGCTGCTGCTGTCACTGACATACAGAGGCTTTCACTCCCATTAGTGATGGCAGGACCCAATCATTACAGGAGTGAACCCTAATTTCCTCATCACATGGGACAGTCTCAGCTGAGGGGGAAGTAAGAGGGGGAGGAGGTACAAAGGGAAAAGGAGAAAGACTGAATGGGTTCTTGTAGCCATGTTTGTCCCAGGATATTAAAGAGAAGTAGTTTTTTTAATAGGTCCTAAAAGAAATTACTTCACACACCTTGTCTCTCCAAAAGACCTGAAAGTGGCAGAAGGAGAAATAAGCAGGAAGACAGAGCTCATGACTCTAAACCAAACATTTTCAACCCCACAGAGGAAACTACATTTCCCATCTGCCCATGGGTGTGTTTGTGTCCTATATGGGGGACCACCCCATTCCTCTCACAGCAGCAAGGGGAGACTGCAGCCAGCCCCAGATGGTCCTTCCCCATCCTGGGATGTGTGTTGAGATGAAGTGTGTGTGTGTGTGTGTGGTGGGTGCACGGGCTGGGTCCCCAGACAGCTAGACCCATCTGCAGACTTGAAAGCCAGGGCAACTCCAGCACAGCATGGGGGCTCTGGGCAGGGGGAGCAGTTCTGGAGCTGGGCCTCTGCCCCCTCTAGGTCCCATGGCAGATGGCACTGGCAACATCAAGTGGGTCCATTACTGCAGGGGAAGGTTTGGGTAGTGGCTGAGATTGGGGTGAGGATTGTGTGGGGCTCCCATGCCCAGGAATGGGGGATGGAATTCACCTCCCCACCCCTCTGCAGAGCCAGCAACTAGGGATTTATCCAATGAAGTGAATTTCACTCTGGGTGACTCAGACAGCCACTGAAAGATCCTTGTGCCTTAGGTTCAACACTGGCCAAAGGAGTTTATTAATACTCCCTCCCTGGACTGCCAGGGGTGGCCAGAGTTTATTAGTGTGTTATGGGAATCATAAGATGACAATTCATTAAGAACGATGATATTTGTGTGTTTATTATTAAATCCCCAGACACCCACCAATCCCCGTCCTTCTTCCAATGAACTATAAATATCTAAGGGACTCAGCTACTGATCCTACAGTGAGTTTTGCCCTTCCCCACTTTCTATAGTAGCACTTTTAAGAACAGGCCAGGGAAACATAGAAATACTTTGAACCAAATTCCGGTACCTGCTGAGCATGGACAAGTTAAAATGAAACCAAGGCTCCGTCTCTCCAAGGACCTGGCCCCTAGTGCAACATTATAGACACTCCCCAGAAATCTGAAAGGGCCACTTCATAACGGATAGAATGTTATTTATCTATTGACTTCTGGGAATTACCAATAAAAGAAACACCCCAGTGACGGTGATACCCTGAGTGAAAGATCTCATGTGTCTTTACAAACTGGTATAATCTAATCTGGAACTTTATACTGTAAAATGCCTTATTCATAGCCCTATGGCGATTGCCTGGTGTCACTACAGGGCAGAGTTAAAGGTTGGTGCCTTAGCTGTGAATTTCCATCCCCTAGCATATTGTGATTGCTGTTAAGTGGGTTTGGCAAAATTCATTTTGTCTATTTCTTTTTAAAATTTCAATAGATGATATTGATATTTATTTTAAGACCTTTTTCCAATATTTACAATTTCAATGTTAAGAGCTGTGGGAAGTTACAGGGGTGGTCAGACAACAATTATTTAATTACAATAAATGTTGAGATTTAAAAAGCCAAATCTTTATAACTGTTCAAACACAAATTGTCAATGTCACATGCAAAATATAGAGTGTAAATATCCTTAAATCAAACTCAACTTTCTCCAGAAGCATTTTTGTATTTTGCCTATATAAATATGTTTGTGTTTGTGTATGTGTGTACAGTGAAATCAACATTTAGTGAGATTTATTGATAAAAATCCAATCCTTTCAAGTGTACTTTTAAATAACTAAGTACTCAAATTCTTTCACTTCCTGGACTGTAATGCTTGCTTTGGGGATAATTACACCCTCCCTATGATGTATTTTACCCTAAGTCACTGACACGTGCTCTCCACCATAATCCCCTAGTGATGTAGCTCCTGTCTGGGAGCTCTGCTGAGGCCAGTGGCATTATGATCAGAAAGTGACACTCTGACACATGGGGGAGGGGGAGGTAACATGGAGGCTACCAGGCTTGAACATGACCCTACAGAGTGTGGGGAGCAAACTCCCTCTCAACCTCTCCTCTCTCCCACCTCCCAGAGTTAGAAACTCTGATAAATCGTTCCCTGAAATCTAAATAGCCCCAGTATGTGAGACAGTGATTAACGCAGGTGCCTTATGGGCTGCAGCACCAACCCCCTGCCTGGACGAGGGCGATGAAGAAGTGCAGTAGAAATTGGTTAGGCTGGGAGAGGTCACAGCTGATGTGGGACTGGGAGCCAACTTGACCAAGAGGCCAGAACTCATGGGGGGTTGGGACAAGAAATCAAGAGGACTGGGTAGAGGCACTTCTGTGTATTTTCCCCGTTTACCATCCTGCCATGTATTTAATTTAGAAACTTTTCATTCACATTTAAGCACATTGGAGCTAAGCTGTGTTGATACATTTCCACTTACAGTGATACAGTTTGAATTAGGTGCTCAATCAGATGCTTATGCAACACAAAGCAGTCAATAATTGGTGTGCTTTCATTCATTAACTTGACTGTGTGCTGTGCATCGCTTTTACAAAAAAAGATGATGTGAGCAAGTGTCAAAATTTCAAGCATTAAGAAATGGAAATTAGGTGTCAGTTCCATTCCCATGCATTTATCCCATAATTTTAATTTCAGTTTTGAATCAGTATTAATACCATGCTGTTTTAATAGCGTTAGAGTCTGTTTGTATAATTGTTTGCAAGATTTCATTGGATATTGTGAACCAGCAGTCTTAACCTTTTATTTGGAGATTACTAAATACAATCCAGCGCATCACTCCTGAAAGACTGCAAGCCCTGGCCGGTGACATGCTCCCTAGAGAGCAAACACCTGATGAGCCCTTTTGCCCTAAAAAGCGCTTTTGGATCTTTGACATTGCTTTATCCACCCCACCAGAAAATGCTATAGGTAACCAGGTAATTACAGCAGACCTTCACTAGGTATAGTTCTACCAGCTATGTGCCAAAATTCAAATGGTTCTGTTTGTTTTATCTTTTATTCAGCTTTGCAATTATTAGATCCCATTTAAAAACTGGAACTGAAATAACCAAAGCAAGTTAAATAAATAATATATGGAGATATACCTATCTCATAGAACTGGAAGAGACCCTGAAAGGTCATTGAGTCCAGCCCCCTGTCTTCTCTAGCAGGACCAAGTACTGATTTTACCCCAGATCCCTAAATGGCCCCCTCAAGGATTGAACTCACAATGCTGGATTTAGCAGGCCAATGCGCAAACCACTGAGCTATCCCTCCCCCCTAAGTTAAGAAGAGAGTGGGCATTGGGCATAGGTGGGGGTAAGACAAAAAAGGGAAAGCACTGACTATGCAAAAAGGAACATCCCAAACTATCAGAGCCCCAGACCCTCGTCCAAGTGAATCCACCCCAGCCAGGCATAACAATGTGGGTCCCTGAAAAACTGCCCAGCCCGTCTGGCAGTGAATGCTGCGTGTTCCAGACAGAGCTGTGGTGTGTGTCTGCTCTGCTGACGTGCTGCTTTGGTACGAAATGCACCACGGCCACAGGGAGCAGAGACATGGACTCCTACAAAACAAAATCCCCAAATCCAACATCACATCCCCTCCCCACCTCCACACAGTCTGCCATCCGCTCCCCCACCTCCACATGGCCATTCTCAGCCTATTGCTAACAGTTCCTTCCAGCCTTCAGCACTATAAATAAATAAAACATGGTGTTGCAAAAGGTAGATCATGCCAGAGAAACTTGATCTCCTTCTGTAAGAAGGTAACTAATTTTTTGGAAAAAGAACAGGAGTACTTGTGGCACCTTAGAGACTAACAAATTTATTAGAGCATAAGCTTTCGTGGGCTACAACCCACTTCTTCGGATGCATAATTTTTTGGACAAAGGAAATGCAGTAGCTCAAATCTATCTGGATGTCAGTAAGGAATTTGATACAGTTCCACATGGGAAACTGTTTGTTACATTGGAGAAGATGGGGATTAATTTGAGAACTGAAAGGTGGATAAGGAACTGGTTAAAGAGGAGACTACAAGGGGTCATACTGAACTGCCAGGCTGGAGGGAGGTCACTAGTGGAGTTTCTCAGGGATTGGTCATGGGACCAGTCTTATTTCACATTTTTATTAGTGACCTTGGCAGAAAAAGTGGGAGCATTCTAATAAAATTTGCAGATGACACAAAGCTGGGAGGGATTGCCAATGCGGAGAAGGACCAGATTATCATACAAGAAGATCTGGATGTCCTTGTAAACTGGAGTAATAGAAATGGGATGATATTTAATAGCGCAAAGTGCAAGGTCATGCATTTAAGGACTGTGGTGGGGTGGCGACTCCCCCGCACGGAGAGTGTGGGCTGGGGCAGGCCCGGGTGCCTGCATATCCCGGCAGCCAATAAGGGAAAGGCTTGTTGCGAGCCAATCAGAGCCCAGATTGGGGACGGCCAATCAGGGCCAAGCTCAGCCATATAAAAGACAGCTCAGGGAGAGCGCAGTCAGTCTGTCCCAGGCCTTCAGAGGGGAAGGTCTGTCTCCAGAGCTGGGAGGCCAGCACCACGGACAGTGCAGTGCAGGCCAGTCTTGGAGAGCGGGAGAAGGTCCTACTCCGTGGCCTGCCAGGTGCAGGCTGGGAAGGAAAAGGCCTAGCGGGGAGAAGGGCCGTTGGGGAAGTGGTCCAGAGAAGTAGTCAGAGGAGGAAGGAGAAGGAGGA